AAAAAAAAAAAAAAAAAGTGAAGTCTCAGCAAAGAAATAGAAGATATGAAGAAAGAACCAAATGGAGATTTTAGAACTGAAAAGAACCAGAATTAAAAACCCCTCAATGGATGAACTTCACAGCCAAAATGGGGGGGGCGGGGCAGAAAAGAATCACTGAACTGAAGAGGGGATATTAGAAATTAGCCTCAGGGACCAGTGCAAATATAACAAAAGACCTAAAGTCCAAAGTTTAGGAAAAAGAGGGGGAACTGAAAAAATGCCTGAAAAACAAAGGATTGAAAACTTTTCAGATTTGGCAAAAGATAAAAAGAAAGAGATTCAAGAAGCTCAGTAAAGTTCAAATAGATTACCCAGTGAAATCTAAACCAAGACATAATGTAGTGAAACTTCCGAAAGCTAAAGAGAAAAAATAAGTCTTGAAAATAGTGAGAAAGAAATGACACCTTTAGAGGAAAAATAACTTGAATGACAGCGGATTTTTGCTCATAAAACATGGAGTTCAGAAGGAAGTGGCACATTTTTTAAGAGCTGAGAAAAAAACCTGTCAACTGGAATTTTATACTCAGACAAAATACGCTTCAGGAATGAAGGGGAACTCAAGACATCCTCAAATGGAGGAACACTACGAGAATTTGACTGCAGCAGACCTCCCTGAAAGAATGCCTAAGGGGCATTCTTTAAATGGAAAAAATTTGACAGAAGAATAAAATATGGAAAATCAGAAAGGAAAAAAGAACAACAGGAAGTGTTAAGATGTGGGTAAATGCAATGCATTTTCCTGCTCTTGAGTTCTCTGCATTAAAATTGGAGCATAAGTGGACCTGTGCAGTTCAAACCCGTGTTATTCAAGGGCCAACTGCATTTTCAGTCCACAGTTGGGAACCCATGTATGTGGGGGGCTGACTTAAGTTATACATGGTTTTTCAGGTGAAGAGGTGTTAGCATCCCTAACCCCCACATCATTCAAGGGCCAACTATATAGGAAATATGTAAGTCAGTTGTATTTTAAGTGAAAGATAATATGGGACGTAAAGGAGATACGATTTCTACACTTCACTCAAACTGGTAAAATGTTGATACCTGTGGACTGTGATAAATTATGTATCTATAACGTAGCATCCAGAGCCACCTCTGCAATAGCTTTACAAAGAAATACACTAAGAAATACCATGGATAATTCAAAATGGGGTCCTAAAATTTGTTCACAGAACCCACAGCAAATTGGGAAACAATAAATCAGAATAAGCATAAGACAAGTAAAGTAACAGACTTCAGTCATAACATACCAATAAATTCATGAATATAAATAATCTAAATGTACCAGTTAATATTAGAGGTTGGCAGAGTGGATTTTAAAAACTTGGCCTAACTATATGCTGTCTACAAAAAACTCACTTCAAATGTAGATAGGTTGAAAGTAAAAAGATGAAGAAAGATTATGAAAAAGTAATCAAAGGAAGTAAGATTCCTATATCAGACCAAAGAAAATTATCAGAGACAGAATTCACTAAACAACAGAGTTGCAAAGCATGTGAAGTCAACACAAGACCAAAACGAGAAATAGATGCACAGTTATAGTCAGAGATTCAATACCCCTCTCACGATAACTGATACAATTAGACAAAATTAAGTAAGAATATGGAGAATGCAGTGCCATTATCAGCTAATAGGACCTTTGGATATTTGTGGAACAGTCTCCTCAACAACAGAATACACATTTTTTTCAAGCGCCCATGAAACACTCACAAAGATGGATTGTGCCATAAAACCACCTCAACAAATTTTTAAAAATTGGATTTTTTTTTTATACAAAATTTTTTTTTCTGACTACAGTGAAGTCAAATTAGAAATCAATAACAGAGAGATAACAGGAAAAACCTCTAAAAGCTTTGAAATTAAACAACACATTTCTAAATATTCTGTGGTTCAAGGAGGAAATCTCAAGGGAAATTTAAAAATACATTGAACTAAAAGAAAAGGAAAATATCACATCAAAATTTGTGGAAATGGCTAAAGCAGTGCTGAGAGGGAAATACATTTAAAAAGAGAAACACTCAAATCCATATCTAAGCTGCCATCACAAGAATTTAGAAGAGCAAAATAAATCCAAACAAGCATGAGGAAGGCAGTAATAGAGAGAAGAGCAGAAATCTATGGAACTCAACAAAGGACAATTGAAGAAAAATCAATGAATCCCAATGGATTCATTTTATGAAAATTGACAAACCTCTAGAAAGACTGACAGAAGAAAAAAGAGAGAAGACACGAATTACCAATTCAGGAATGAGACCTCACTACAGACCCTGAAGACACCCGGAGGCTATTATGGGAATAGGTACATGCATATTGTATGATTCCATTTTTGTAACATCCTTGACTTGGCAGTAACATAGAAACAGAGAGCAGATTTGTGGTTGACGGGACCCAGAGATGAGGAACAGGCTGGAGGGAGGAGGGAGTGGATATGAAAGGGGAGCAGGAGGGATCCTCCAGGCGATGGACTTGTTCTGTATTTTGAGTCACTGTGATACCCTGGTTGTGATACTGCACTACTGTTTTGCAAGATGTTATCATTGGGGAAAACTGGGCAAAGGGTACATGGGAGTTCTTTGTATTGTTTCTTACAATGCCATTTGAATCTATAATTATCTCAAAATAAAAGTTTTTAAAAATTCACATACTAAATTCTAAAAGAAACGCAGTCATTTTCTAAAGAAAAAGTATGGGATAGCAACAGAATTTTATTTTCTTCATTCAGAAATTTAATATTATTGTGTTGAAAATTAAAACAAATGGAAGAAAGTTTCTTGCAGTTTGTTTAATTGAATTAACAAATGCATAGTTATCCATTGTATTATTTCTTATTATGCTTAGATTTTTCTTTCTTCTTTACTGCTCTATCTTTCTCAAAGAGAGGTCTTTTAAATATTCAATAATGTGTAGAAATTAGAGAAATGGAAATATAGGAGAAGCAAAATAAAATATTTTTAATAACATTTAGGTCTTGTTGATTTAAGAACTTAAGATATGTGGAATGGAGAGAGGAAGCACATTATATTACTGTTTTGCAGCATGTTAAGCTTTGAATGACTTGATTTATTTTGTGGTGTTTTTGATAGACAATGATTTTTCACATGTTGGGCACCAATTTACAAATACTCCAAAATGGGTTTTGATCAGTTTGGTTTTCAGGATCTCTGCTTGTTGTTCCTGAATCCACTTTCTCTCAGTCTCATTCTTCCTCTTCCTCTTGTTCCAAACCTTCAGATCAATATGCTTCTCAATTTTAAGGATGACAAAAGCGAGTGTCCGTGTCCAGAGGAAATTCGAGACCAACTCTTGGATTTTCACGAAGATCTGATGGCACACTGTGGTAAGGTCTTCATGACTTACAGCTCTTGTTAAATGCACATGTACTGCTACCAAAGTAAATCCGTATGTAACAGGTTCACACATATGCACGATTCCTGTTAGGGTTCACCTAAGAATTGCTATTATGGTGAACTGGTGAACTGACCCTGTGTGGAAGTCAGGAGGGGTAGACAGATCAGAAAGGCCCTCAGACAGAGCAGAAGACCGAAATTATCCCTCCCTTTTCCCTCTTTCCCTCCCAACAGGGCTCAGGAGGCTCAGGAGGGATTGTAACCAGGTGCTTTGGGCAGAGCTGAGTGTTAGGCTGATTGAGTCTAAAGAAATTTGTTCACAAACAGTTGTATTTAAACTGACTGCAAGACCACGTTTTACGACTGGCCAAGGACATTTAGCATATGTGTTATGAAATTAGTTAATGCCTAAGGAAGTCCTGCATTGAATTATATGTTAGCCCAGACCTATGAAGGGAATTCTCCCCTTTTATTCTAAGAACTTTAAAATGGGATTGGATAGATGTTGTGGGCCTGTGCTTCCTTCTGTCTTTATGCTGCAGTGTGGATGAAGGTGAGCTAGCAACCATGTCCTAAGTGATATGTGTAGCACCAGTGGTATTATTTTTATTTTATTGTAATGAGAATAAAAGCACTGCATTGCATATTCGTTCAGCTTGTGGATGAAGAACCATGGAGTGATTTCCATAAAGTTACACCCTATATAGTATGAATTAGGGGACACTCTAAACAGACTTACTGCTTCAGACATACAGCATTCTCTGCCTAAGGTACCCAATTATGCCTGTTCTCCCTGTGTCTCAAGTTATTGAAATTCCACTGACATTGATGAGGCAAGTGAGGGGGTGGAAGTGAGGTTTTCAGGTGGGTGGAACTGCAGCTCTAGGCAGACGGCACCTAAGTCAGAGATGCCTGCATCAGCTTGGGGCAGACCTGATCTTCCTGATCTCGTCTCCCGAGAGAGGAATTTTGTTCTCTGTTTGGTTTTACATTTTGTGCTGGCTGCTGATGCCATGAGCCACAGGAACAGGGGAAAGAGGAAGGAAGAAGGGTCACCAAGTGTGAATGTTGCTGGGAGTGCTCGCGGGCAGGCTTGTTCAGTGCTGTTGAGTTCCAGGTGCTGTGGATGGAAAAGGCTGCCGAGCCCGAGAATTATTTCTCCAAAATGTACCTTCTAAATATGTTTTTTCTTTTCTTCTTTCTCTTTGCTTTTTTCACACTAGGAATTGAGCTGGATGAAGATGGGTCTCTGGATGGAAGCAGTGACCTAACAATTAGAGGGCGCCTGCTGTCCCTGGTGGAAAAGGTGACATACCTGAAGAAGAAACAGGCTGACAAGCCAGTGGAGAGCGCCTCCAAGCAGTCCTGTAAGCACAGGGTCAGGGACGCAGCTGCTGTCCTACAAGGCGAGCCAGGGAGAGCACTGAGTTTGCATCTTCCCAGGATCAGTTTCCTAAATAGATGCCTGTAGCCGCAGGAAGTGCTCAGCAGCATCAGACATTATTTGTAGAAATGGAGAGAAAGCAGCATTATAGGGGTGGATGGGCTCCCTGAGGCACTGGAAGTTTAGTATTTGATTGGGGACTATTAAGAGAAAGAAAAAGGGAGTAATTTAGCCTTCATATGTAAATGTTATGCAGTTGGTTTTCCTTATATCAAGTTAAACCTTTTATTAATGTTTAAATAGATTTTGCCTGTAACTCTAATTTGGTTCTGAAATATTTTCTAAAGTTTATGCATTCCTGCTCCATACATATTTAATTTAACTGAAGAGTAACAGCTGATACTCTGTGAATGAAGTCAGCACATGGACAGTGAGTCTCAGGCACCAGACTCACCGAGAAGGGGCAGGAGTTGGTCTGTGAGACCCGCCCACTGGTCACCTCACTCCTAAGGCTCCATGGATGGATGCAGTGCCAGTTTATCAACAGAGTTTTTTTTTGTAATCCTCACCTGAGGATATATTTTTTCCATTGCTTTTCAGAGACAGTGGAAGTGGGGGAGAGAGAGAGAGAAACATCGATGTGAGAGAAACACATTGATTGATTGCCTCCCACATGAGCCCTGACCAGGGCCGGGATCGAGCCTGCAACCGAGGCACGTGCCCTTGGCTGAAATTGAACCCGAGACCCTTCAGTTCGAGGGCTGATGCTCTGACCACTGAGCAAAAGCTGCTAGGGTTCAACAGCTTTTACTGAAAGAAAAAAATAGAGTCATGGAATTGTGGAGTATTTTTTTCCACTAACTTACAATGGAAACTTTTTATTTATACGATTACTTCTAAATTTATTCTTTAGTGTCACAACCAGGTCTTACTCAAAATCAGAGTTCAACATTTCTTATAATCACCTTTTGTTATTATCAAGTTTAAGAGTTTGAACTGTAAAAATGACAGCATGCCCTGGCCAGTGTGGCTTAGTGGGTTGAGCATTGTCCCAGGCACCTAGAGGCTGCTGGTTCCTGGTCAGGGCACATGCCTGGGTTGTGGGCTCGATCCCTAGTAGGGGGCATACAGGAGGCAACCGCTCAGTGGTTCTCTCTCATCCATGTTTCTCTTGCTCCCTCTCTTTCTAAAATCAATAAAAACAAAACATTTTACAAAACGGACAGCACGGTGAACACCCAGCACGTCCTCATGGTCCTAGGGAGAGGGGGTTTGACTTCTGGTTTTTCACTGTTATGTTTTCTGGATCACCTTCCCAGAGGGCTCTGAGGTGAAGGAACCAGCCCGCATGGGTATGATACCAGACGCTCAGGTGAAAAGTACGCTGGTTGGGGTACATACAAATCCACAAAATGATGGCAGATGTTTATAGAGACTTTTTAGCAAAATGATCTTTTGTCTGATGGGATTTGATTAGTTATGTAAGTATATATATAGTCAAAGTTCTACGAATGTAATTTCTTGATGGATAAACCACATTTTTAGATGTTTCCCTTTTCTGACCACCAAAATAATATGTCTGTAGATTAAACCCTTTCCTTTCTAGCGGAGGTTTCCCCCTCAACTAAAAATAAATAACATGGTTTCCAGATATGTGGAAGCATACTGGTATTTTATCTGCATTTTGTAATTGTGTTTGGCTAAAATTGGTAGTTTTTCTTTTCCCTTAAATCTGTTTTCTTAAACAGATCAAAGCATGCTAAACAGCTTTGTTAAAAAAAAAAAAATCTGCCAGTGTAGCCCTGGCCGGGTTGGCTCAGTGGTTAGAGCGGCGGCCCAAGCACCAAAGGATTGAGGGTTCGATTCCCAGTCAGGGCATGTACCTGGGTTGCAGCTTTGATCCCCCACCCGTAAGGGGCAGCCAATCTGTGTGTCTCTCCTCACATGGATGTTTCCCTCTCCCTCCCTCTTTCCCTCCCTCTCTCCCTCCCTCTCTCCCTCCCTTCTTCCCTCCCTCCCTCCTTCCCTCCTTCTCTTTCTAAAACTCATTGGAAAAAATATCCTTGGGTAAGGGTTAACAAAAAACAAACAATAAAAAATCAGCCAGTGTACTGATGATGGGAATTAAGCATCTCACTGTGTATGAATTGGTCACATCCGCCCTGCTTAGCTTTGATAACTGTATTATTTATTTTATGAGGTGTGGAAGGTCTGTTGTTTTTATTTTTATTTTTTAATCCTCAGCCAAGGATATGTTTTTATTGATATTAGAGAGAGGGTGAGGGAGAGGGGGAGAGAGAGAGAGTGGAAGAGAGAGGAACATTGACGTGAGAGAGGAACACCCATCAGTTGCTTCCAGTGTGCGCCTTCGCAGGACAGTGCTCAGACCACTGAGCACACGGGGCAAGGCAAGTTCTGCTGTTTTTAAGGGCCTTATATTACACATCACACAGCAAGTAATCTTCTATGTGTGTAATGATTTTCACGTTAATAATTTCACAACCAAATCCTTTGGAAGATATTTTAAGTGATTATTGGAGGTCTAAATTTAACTATAAATATAATTATATGAGGTCACTACTGCAGATGACTCAGATGAGGAGACAGCTCCTTGAATGCCCACAACTGACCTTTATAAGGACACATGATGTCAGATCTTCTGGGAAGAAAATAGTGGAGCAAAAAAATAAAAGTAAAAGTAATAGGACATTTCATATTGATTGTTGTATGGCTGCAAGCAGTGGTTGAGAAAAAGTGCTTGCAATTTTGAAACAACTAAAATCCTTTCATTATAGGACTATTTCTTGAAGAAAAGTTTGTGCATTTTTATTCTTGCATGTTCAACTCATCTTTATATATATATATATAGAGAGAGAGAGAGAGGGAGAGAGGGAGGGAAAGAGAGAGATATCAATGCTTATAAATGTTTAAATGAAGTTTATTTTCTTCCAAGAATATTCCTAAGTATTCGTATACAAACATACATAGGAGTTTGGGACTATGGGATGTGCAGTTGAAGTGCCCATTTTAATCTGCCTTCTCTTATTATTTCCCTCTTTAAAAACACTGAATAATGACCCCAGCCACACTTCAGCAGCTGATTTCCGAGACGATGGTGCGGTGGGCTCAGGAGTCCGTCATCGAGGACCCCGAGCTGGTGCGGGCCATGTTCGTGCTGCTGCACCGGCAGTACGACGGCATCGGGGGCCTGGTGCGGGCTCTGCCGAAGACCTACACCATCAACGCCGTCTCCGTGGAGGACACCATCAGCCTGCTGGCCTCCCTCGGGCAGATCCGCTCTCTGCTGAGCGTCAGGATGGGCAGAGAGGAGGAGAAGCTCATGATTCGTGGATTAGGGTGCGTTTAATCATTACAACCTTTGGTCTGATAGTTTCCTCCTGATTGCTTATCCCAGTACTAGAACAAGTCGGGGCATTAACGAAAATACATTGTCTAGATTGCATGATTATTAAATTAGATTCTTGTTTTTTTAGAGATTATATTTTAAAGCTAAATAGGAATTTTGGTGAATAATGAAACATTTAATTTTACAATTAGATGCTAAGATGACTCTGATACACAGCAAATATTTTAGTTTGTTTCTTAATTACTCAGTAGTGTATAATCATATCTAAAAATACAGGTTAATAAAGACACTAAAATCCATGGGGAGACAAACACTAGCAACAAACAATAAGGACGTCTGTCTGTATCTTCTGGCCTTTGAAAGGAGAGGGTGAACCAAGAATTCAGTATCATAGGCTACGCTGCATGTAGAGTTGAGGGATAACGTTTATACCCTATGCGTAGTCTAAGGACACCCCCAGCTGAGAAATTAACATGAAAACTGGCCTGGTGATATGCTTTCTCATCTCAGGTTACTCTGAAATCTTCTAAGAAAAAACCTAAATACTACCAAAGATTAGCCCACAATCAAAAACTGCAAAGCACATAGAAAACAATTCACCATAAATAAGGGTCAACAGATAGGATAAATTGTAGAGTTAGAACACCTCCCCCAAGAACTTTAGATAATACAGTACCAGAAAGAGAACATAAAGTTCCTGTACACAAAGGAATAAATGAAATTTCTAAAAATAAGACATGCAAAGTCCAGGAAGGTTTGAAAGAGACCCAAGTAGAACTTCTAGAATAAAAACTATGATAATTGACAGAAAAACAGTTAATTAAATAACAGATTAGATAGAGCTGAAGAAAAATTAATAGATTGGATCGTAGATCTGAGGAAATTACTCAGCATTGAGAAATGAAAAATACAAAAGAGAAGTTATGAGAAGTAAGGGGTAGTGTGGGAAGGTCCAGCATGTGCAGAGTAGGGTTCTGGGAGACACAGCAGGGAACTAGAGAAGGGGAATATTTGAGGAGCTATGGGCTTGAGGTTTTCAGAATTGATGAAGGTTAGGAATTCACAGGTTTGTAAAGCACAATTGTTCCGCATCTACAGCTGCATGTAATGTAGCATAAAACCAGTGTTTTGTAGGCTATTTTAGAAGAAAGCAGAGAGGAAAGCCAGAATTCTTGGAAAGGAATGATATTTAGGATTCTCAATAGCAGTACTGGGGAACATGACTCAGTGCAGGATCTGTTAGCAACTGAGAATCCCACCCAGTGTGGATTTCGAGATGAAAATTTACACCCATTTTCAAGAGTGAGAGAAGAATAAAGATATTTCAGAATACCCACCTGCAGCCCCTCATTGAAAGACCTTAAAGCAGTAGCAGGGAACATCTGGCTCTTGGGCATTATAGAGCCCACAGAATCATTTGGTCTGGCCCTGCCAAGGCAACAGGTGGGACTCGAAATTCAATAAATCTAGGAGCTCTTTTCATAGCTAATTTTTAAGTTGATAATTTTGTATGGTTGCAAATGATGTTATAAATAGCCAAATGGCCCTTGGCAGAAAAAAGGTTCCCCACCCCTGTTCTAAAGACTGTACATTTGAGAAAAGAAAACGGCATTCAGAGAGAAGGAGTGGGAGGCAGTGTGTTAGGGAGTATGTTACTGGTGTGTACAGGCATGTCTGAGCAATCAGTAATTTGTATAACTTGGAGATATGAAAATAAGAAACTTAAATACCAGAGAAAAATGAAAGCTGAAATAAAGCTATATGGTGTTCACAAGAAAAATACTTACACATAAGAATGTAGAAGTTGGGAAAATAGAGTGTTGAAAAGTGATGTAGAAGACAAATATTTAGTTAAAAAAAAAAGCTAATCCAGCTATATAAATATCAGATAAAAGAGACAATGAACGTGACTACTGACATGGATAAGGTAGAATGCAGAAAGTAATAAAAGGATTTAAAGAAACCTAAAGCTGGTTCTTTGAAAAAAACAAATGAAATATAGAATAGTCAGTTTTTTCCTTTGGCAAAACTAAAAAACAGTTGTGAGGAAGAGAAAGTATGGAAAGATTCAGGTTGTATGATATAATCTATATACATTTTAGATTCATAAAACAGTCCTATATATTGCCTTTGGGCCTATTAACTATTTGAAATCATAAAACTAAACTAGAAGGTTATATTCCAATATTGTTACAGTGGTTGCACACTAAAAATAAATATACTAACTGCACAAAGAGGGAGCACAGAAAAGCCTGAACAACACAGGCAACTGTTAAGGTCTTTATTTATAACTGGATGAGCATGAGTCTTTTTGTTTAATACCTTGTCTAACCTGAGGGGCCTTCTCATAAAGTAATCTTAATTCACCAATCAGTGCAAAAGGAAGAAGTCCAGGGTGGCAAGCACTCCCTTCCTCAAATGAATATAAACGTTTCTTTCTGTGAAACTGGAACTGTCCCTCAATAGGACGCACATAGTAAGTGAGGGCCTGCCTACTTGGCAGTAGAGTTATAAATCCATTTAATTGACCTAGAACAAAGGCAAACAAGATTTCTCAGTTAAATACTTTTCAAAGTTAGGTCCTACCAAGAACTTGAACTGACGAGAGAACGGGCCTCATGATTGTTCCTGGGATTTGGAAGCTGAGGTTCTTGCTGAACATGCCCTGATGTGAAGGGATAAGGCCTTTCATGACCTTATTTTTCCTTTGAGAAACATCAGCTACCTCAGACCTGGGCTGCCAGTCATTTTTCTGAGTTGTGCTGTCTTAAAGCTTTCTGTATTAACACAAAACTAAACTAAATTAAAAGTGAAAAACTAAACCTAAAAGTAAAGGAGGAGGAGAACTATAGAAGAATTTTATATTCCATCTTCCCCATGTAGCCAGAAAGTTAGCATGTGACTAAATGAATGGGTGATGAGTTCATTCAGGAAATCAGATTGGAGGCCAGGTTTAAGTGTAAGTTTGCTTGCAGCCAGCACATCATTTTTGTCTATAGCTCTGACAGGAAAGTGTTCTGTAGAGAAAACTCTCGCATTGATTTGATTTATGTTAAAAGTTAAAGGAGCTCTTCAATTGCAGAGACTGCTCAATGTTAGGATCATCACAAGTGCCTGCACATGCATATTGTAATATTACTGATGCAGTGACACTAAGAAGGAGCATTTCAGGAGCCATCCGCTGCTGTTTCTTTTCATTGGATGTCCCTTTCAATGAGTTAGATTACTTGTGCCCGGACTTCATGTGTATCCAGTTTCTCTTGGAGAATATGTATCTTTTAAAAGCATTTCATCAGAATAACATAAATGTAACAAGAAATAACACTTTATTATTAAACATACAAATACTGAACATGGTACTAAAAATGGTACTAAAATAGCAAATATACTTCTATATCAATATTTATACAAGAACTTTCCTGTAAACGTGGAAATGATTCATTTCTATACAAAAGAAGGTTGAACATGTTTGGATAAACATTAAATCAGGAGTCATAAGTGTCCAAAACTGTATTTAATATTAGTGAATGTTTACATATTTGGTACATTTCTTGTTATTGAAAAGAATAGACAACTTGAATACTGTTTTTGGTAGGCTACCAGTAGTTTTGAGGAAAACTCAATTAATTGTACTTATGAGCTTTTGTGGCTTAACTGTGATGGCTCTTCTGTACATGCCAGTAATTTCTTCCAAAAGGTTGGTGAGGTTTCAGGTAAATGGTTATTGAAATTTTGCTCTGACCTCTGTCTGCCTTCCATGCCTGTGCTCCTTCATAGGGACATCATGAATAATAAAGTGTTTTACCAGCACCCGAACCTCATGAGGGCACTGGGGATGCACGAGACAGTGATGGAGGTCATGGTGAACGTGCTCAGCGGTGGGGAGTCCAAGGTACAGGAAAGCCTTTGGCTCTCGGGGCGGGTTCATTGCAGCCTCCTTGAGAACCTGCATTTCTGACATCCTCCCAAGAGGGCTGCTTCGAAAGACATCTCTTGGAAAAAAACAAACAAAACCGTACTGACTGAGAGTTGGATATACAACTAGTGTTTTTCTTTAACAGTGTTTATACTATGCTATGTTATCTGCTGTATCCTAAATTATTGTCATTTAGGGGATGTTTAGAAACTTTAAAAATTAATACTGTTCTATTTTATTGAATTATAAGTCAGTTCTCTTCACATTACATGCCCACAACACAGACATGTCTTTCAGACCCAGCATTGCCCTTGACGACAGGTGGCTGTGCTAAATTCCCCATCCAGACCAAGACTTGAGAGTGATGCTCTGGAGTATTTGTTGTAAGACTCTAAAGTGAATTGTTAAGGGATTAAAATTTAAAATAAAGTTCTTTAGAACCAAATGAATAGAGTCATATAACAAGTACCTCCATATAAATCAGTATAATTTCATAACATCTGATTAGAAAAATATATTTCAATATTTTTTGAAATTTTATGATGTATTTTTCAAAATATGGACATGAGTCCATACTGCTCATGTTCAGTCTACCAGTTAGACAGACTTACAAATATATTTATAAAATGCTGTGCTGAAGAAGGACTCCAGGCATCACCTGAGCTCCCTGGAACAGGGTCTGGCTCTCAAGGGACATGTAATTGATGAGGCCCAGCTTCTGGTCAGGGTCTCGTTATAGCAGGGGAGTCATGCAAATCAGGGAGATTATGAATGCCTGGATTCTTGATAACACTGAGAGTAAAAATTTATGGTTCTAAATATTACACTGGGCGTTTTTCACAAACTGTCTCATTGACACCCCCCTTTCTTACCTAAAGTGAGGAGTATTATGCATCTTACGTTGGTTTAACAGAACAGAATCAGTGAGATGCACACTTTCCCGAGGAAGCACAGCTGCTCTAGTGGTCAGGAATCACACCTGAGCCACCTGACTCCTACCCTGCCTCATGCCTCCTCTGGTTCAGGGCTGTAGATTGATTTCAGATGAGGCCATTGATAGTAATGAGTTTCCAACTTGAGTTCCAGGCTTGACTTTCTGGCTCAGGGACAGGTGAGTCAGAGTCTGGAATTGGAAAGGACTTTGGGTCTAGGCTCGGCAAAAAGGGGCATACCTGGGTTGACAACATGACTGGGACTGAACTTCTGAACTCAGTTTTAGAAAGATAATTTGCTTTCAACTAATTAAATGCTCTCTATATAGGAGATCACTTTCCCCAAGATGGTGGCCAACTGTTGCCGTTTTCTCTGTTACTTCTGTCGTATAAGTCGGCAGAATCAAAAAGCTATGTTTGACCATCTCAGTTATTTATTGGAAAACAGCAGTGTTGGTCTAGGTGAGTAAATGTTTGACTTTTATTTAATTTTATGATAAAAATAATACACATATTGCAATGTAGTGTAAATTAATTCAGAGTAGTGCAATATGTGTTGACTTAGAAATTAAATTTTAAGTGAAAGTGTGTTCTACATGGAATGCATGTTTGTAGCTCAATGAAGTTTTGTTTGATCTTTGTTTGGATTAACAGCCTCGCCAGCTATGAGAGGCTCGACGCCGCTGGATGTGGCAGCAGCCTCGGTGATGGACAACAACGAACTCGCCTTAGCTCTGCGGGAGCCAGATCTGGAAAAGGTAAGCCCCTTCCTGCCACCACGTCCATGTCAATTCTGCTTGCTCATAACTGTCTCTTAAGGTTATGTAAATACAACTATAATTTAGTTATAATTATGCCACTATAATTATACATAAATGTTACATAAATAATATTATAGTTATATAGAACAGATATTTGAGATAAGTTACTTCCTTTAACCACATGCATTTTGCTCTAAAAAGAATCACCTTACTGTCTCTTTTCCTGTGTGTTTTTGTCCTTTCCTGATATCTGCTGTCACATTTGTTTTAATCACACAGTTTCAGGTTTTTTTAAATGTCAGAGACTGAGTTCTGGAGCTGGAGGGGAGGGTCATTTTATCCCCTTGTGCCTGAGAAGCGCCTGTTTTCCTGTGCAGTGCTCTCCCTCCACACAGCCAAACCCTGGTCTGTTTTAGCCTGATGGACCCTGCTGGCCTCATTGTGATGACTCCCTGAGACTCTCCCCCACCATGGCTCTGCGAATCCCAGGCAGATGGCAGCTGGCCTTGGTGTATCCTGAGACTTTTGCTGAACGGCCTCAGACCGAGCACTGGCAGAAAATTTAAATCTCTATCAACCTGGTGAAAACCACTGGCCCCTACCTGGTGACTCACTGAGAACCTACCTCATGCAATTTGCCTACTGCCAGAGCCTCTTACAGTGACTGAGTCTAACAGGCAACTGGTGGGTGGAGGAAGGAGGAGGTGAATCTCAGGATGCCTTGGACCTTTTGCTCACCTGCCCCCAGGCTCAGTAGTGGTAGAAGCCAGTCTTTGTGTGCAGCTTGGACCTTCCCATGCACAACCAGGCCCAGCAACGGCAACCACAAACTGTGGGTTTCTTCTTTGCTCCAGACAGGTAGCCCAGGGTCAGTTATAAGCAGTGCCTGACATTGACCTACACCAGTTCCTCCCAAGAGGCCTTAGAACCAACACACCTGGTGGCGGGCTTCAGACAACCTCAGAGCAGGATCGAATTAGCTCCACAAGTGGCATGCTGTGGAGATCTCGGTAGGCACCAGACCCTGCTGGTGTGAATTCTGCTTCGTGGTGTCAGATCCCACATAGCAGCTTGTATACTGTGGTCGGGATCAGTTCTCATAGTCAGCCAGTCTGAGGGTCAACCCCACCCAGGAACAGGCCAACAGCAGTTAAGACTCAACTATAACAGGAGAGCACACATAACCCACATGAGGGATACTCCTAGAATACCTAGCTCAAGTTATCAGGGAGACTGTGCTACTGAGCCCCACAGGATACCTGCTGTATAAGGCCACCATACCAAAACTGGAAGACAGTGCAGATCTGCCTAGTACAGAGAGATACATGCCCCAAATGAAAGAACAGGAGAAATCCCCAGAAAAAGAACCAAGTGAAATAGAGGCAAACAAACTGCCAGATACAGAGTTGAAAACAATGGTTATAATTATGCTCAAGGAATTTAGGGGAAGAATGAATAAACTCAGTGAGAAGTTAAAGAGATAGCAAGCATAAAGAAAGACATAGAAATCATAAAAAAAAAGTCAGAAATGAAGAATACACTAGGAGGAATAAACAGCAGGTTCAATGAAGCAGAGGATTGAATCAGCGATTTGGAAGACAAGGGAGCAGAAAACTTACCCAAGCAGAGCAGCAAAAGAAATAAAGAATTTTTAAAAATGAGTATAGTCTAAGGGACCTCTGGGAAGACATGAAGTGTAGCAACATCTACATCATAAGGAAACTAGAAGGAGAAGAGAGAGACCAAGGGATTGAGAACCTATTTAAAGAAATAATGACTGAAAACTTCCATAGCCTGGTGACAGAAAAAGACATGCAAGTCCAAAAAGTATAGAGAGTCGCAAATAAGATGAACCCACAGAGGCCCAAACCAAGACACATCATAATTAAAATGGCAAAGGTTAAAGACAAAGAAAGAATCTTAAGAGCAGCCGGAAAAAGATAATTACCTACAAGGAAATTCTTATAATACTGTCAGCTGATTTCTCAACAGAAATGTTTCAGGCCAAAAGGGATTAGCCCAAAATATTCAGTGATAAAAAACAGAGCTATAACCAAGACTACTCCGCACAGCAAGGCTATCATTGAGAAGTAAAGGAGAAATACCAAGACAAGGAAAAGCTAAAGGAATTTATCACCAACAAACAAGTATTATACGAAGTGTTAAAGGGACTTTTTTAAGAAGAAGAAAGAAAAAGGGAACATTTTATAAAGAATAAAGTGGCAATAAATACATACCTATCAATATTCACTTTAAATTTAAATGGAGTAAATGCTTCAGTCGAAATACGTAGGGTAGTGGAATGGATAAGAAAACAAGACCTATATATATGCTGTGTACAAAAGACCTACCTCAGAACAAAAGACACACAGAGACTGAAAATTAAGAGATGGAAAAAGATATTCCATGCAAATGGAAACAAAAGAAAAAAGCCAGGGTAGCAATACTTGTACCAGACCAAAGAGACTTTAAGACAAAGGCTATAATAAGAAACAAAGAAGGACATTACATAATGATAAAGTTATCAATCTAACAAGAGGAAATAACCCTTGTAAACATTTATGTACCGAACATAGGAGCACTTAAATGTATAAAGCAAATCTTGATGGACATAAAGGGAGAGATAATAGTAATACAGTCACAGTAGGGGACTTTAACATTCAATTGACATCAATGGATAGATCTTCCAGAAAAAAGTTAAAGAAACAGTGGCCTTAAATTACACATTAGACCAGATGGAGTTGATATTTTGAGAGACTTAACACCTCCAAACTGTAGGATATACAGGTTTTTTAAGTGCACATGGAACATTTTCCATGACACACCACATCTTAGGCTATGAAACAAGCCTCATAAATTTAAGGAGATTGAAATAATTTTGAGTATCTTCTTTGACCATAATGGTATGAAATTAGAAATTGGTTATAAGAAAAAAAAACTGAAGAACACTCGAATACATGGAAGCTAAATAACATGTTATTAAATGGGTTAATACTGAGATCAAGGAAAAAATCAAAAGATACCTTGAGCCCTGGCTAGTTTGGCTCAGTGGTTAGAGCGTCAGCCCATGGACTGAAGAGTCTTGGATTGTATTCTGGTCAAGGGCACGAGCCTCGGTTGAGGGCTCGATCCCCAGCCCTGGTTGTGGTGCATGTGGGAGGCAACCAGTCGGTGTGTCTCTCACATTGATGTTTCTCTCTCACTCTCTTTCTCTCTCTCCCTTCCACATACCCTGAAAAGCAATGGGAAAAAAGTATTCTCCAGTGAGGATTAAAAAAAAAAATTTAAAAAGATACCTTGAGACAAATGAAAATGAAAACACAAAAATCCAAAGTCTGTATGGTACACAGCCAAAGCAGTTCTAAGAGGGCAATTCATAGCAATACAGGCCTGCCTCAAGAAACAAGAAAAAATCTCAAGTAAACAATCTCACCTTATACCTAATGCAACTAGAAAAAGAACAATGAGCAAAGCCCAAGTAGAGGAGAAGGAAGGAAATAATAAAGATCAGAGTGGAAATAAACAAAACAGAACCTTAGAAAAAAATACAAAAGATCAGTGAAACCAAGAACTGATTCTTTGAAAAGATCAACAAACAACATTGATAAAACTTTAACCACACTCATCACGAAAAAGAGAGCGGACCCAAATTAGTATTGTCAGAGATATAAGAGAGTAACAACTTATGCCACAGAAATACAAAGGATTATAAGAAAACATGACAAACAATTACATACCAAGAAATTGGACAATCTGGAAGAAATGGATAAATTCCTAGAAACATACAAGCTCCCAAGATTGAATCAATAGGAAATAAAATTTGAGCAGATCAATTGCAACCAATGGAATCGAGGCAATAATAAAAATACTCCCAACAAAAAAGAGCCTGGGATGGCTTCACAGGTGAATATTACCAAACATTTAAAGAACTAACTCCTATCTTAAACTCCTATCTTTCTCCTATTCCTAAAAAAATTCAAGAGAAGGGATGACTCCCAGCCCAGTATTGTCCTGAATCCAAAGCCAGACAAAGACACTATAAAGAAAGACAATTACAGGCCAATATCCCCAATGAAAATAGATGCAAAAGTCCTCAACAAAATATTAGCAAACTAAATTCAGCAACACATTAAAAGGATCATACACCATGATCAAGTGGGATTTATTCCTGGGATGCAAGTTTGGTACAATATCCACAAATCAATTACCGTGATACTCCACATAAACAACAAAATGAAGGACAAAAGTCATACGATCACATCAGTAGACGCAGAAAAAGCATTTGACAAAATCCAGCACCCATTTCTGATAAAAACTCTCAGCAAATTAGGACTAGAGGGAACATACCTCAACATAATAAAGATCATGTATGACAAACCCACAGCGAACATCTTACTCACCAGGAAAAAACAAGAAGCATTTCCCTTAAGATCAGGAACAAGACAGGGGTGTCCACTTTCACCTCTCTGAGTCAACATCGTCCTGGAAGCCGTAGCCACAGCTGTCAGACAGGAGAAAGAGTAAAAGGCATTTGCACATGATATGATACTGTATGTGGAAGAGCCTAAAGATTTGGCAACAAAACTACTATAACTGATAAATGAATTCAGTAAGGTAGCAGGATAGAAAATAAATATTCAGAAATTGGTTGCGTTCTTATACACCAATAATAAGCTATCAGAAAGGGAAACTAAGACAGTCCCATTTACAATTACATCAAATAAATAAAATACCTAGGAAATAATTTAACCAAGGAGGTAAAAGGCCTGTACTTGGAAAACTATAAAACATTAAAAAAAGAAATCAAAGAAGACTATTAAATGGAAGCATATACCCTGTTCATGGATAGTAAAAATTAACATCATTAAAATGTCCATACTACCCAAAGCAGTCTTTACATCTGGTGTAAGTCCTATCAAAATACCAGTGGCATTTTTCACAGAACTAGAATAAATAATCCAAAACTTTGTATGGAAACACGAGACCTCGAATAGTGGCAGCTATCTTGAAAAGAAGAACAAAGGGAGATATCACACTACTTGATTTCAAATTACACTACAAGGGTATTGTGATCAAAACAGCATGGTACTAGCATAAAAACGTACAAGTAGATCAATGGAATAAAATAGTCCAGAAATAAACCTACACTTACATGATCAATTAATGTATAACAAAGGAGGCAAGAACATACAGTGGGGTAAAGACAGACTATTTAATAAATGGTGTTGGGAAAATTGGGCAGATACATGCAAAAAAAACGAAACTAGACCAGCAACTTACACCACACACAAGAAAAAACTCAGAATGGATAAAAGACTTAAATATAAGACCTGAAATCATAAAACTCCTAGAAGAAAACAGGCAGTAAAATCTTGGACATTTCTCGTAACAATGTATTTTTTTATATACTTCCTCAGGTAAGGTAAACAAACAAAATAAACAAATTGGACTATATCAAACTAAAAAGTTTTTGCACAGCGAGGAAAACCATCAACAAAATAAGACAACCTACTGACTGGGAGAACATGCTCACCAATGATACATCTGATAAGAGGTTAATATCCAAAATTTATAAAGAACTCAGGCAGCGCAACACTGGAGAAACAAACAGCCAATTAAAAAGTGCACAGAGGACCTGAATAGACACTTCTCCAAAGAGGACATGCAGAGGCCAGTAGACATGTGAAAGATGCTCAGTGTCACTAATCATCAGAGAAATGCAAATCAGAAGCACGAGTTATCACCTCACAGCTGTTAGAAAAGCTGTCAGTGATAAACCAACACCCAGCAGGGGCTGGCGAGGGTGTGGAGAAAAGGAAAGCCTCATGCACCTTTGGTGGGAATGCAGACCGGGGCAGCCACTGTGGAAAACAGTATGGAGGTTCCTCAAAAAATTAAAAATGGAGCCGCCTTAGGACCGAGTGTTTCCACAAGTGGATATATATCTGAAGAAACCCAAAACACTCATTCAAAAAATATATCCACCCACATATTCAGTGGAGCATTATTTACATTAGCTTTTACAAATACTTACATTCTGTTTACAAATATAAAAGCACCCAAATGTCCATCAATATATGAGTGGATAAAAAAGCAGTGGTGCACATATATAAAATGGAATATTCCTTGGCTACAAAAAAGAACAAAATCTTACCATTTGTGACAACATTGATGGTCCAAGAGGGTGTTATGCTAAGTGAAATAAGCCAGACAAAGACAAATACCATGTGATTTCAGATATGTGTGGAATCTAAAGANAGGACCGAGTGTTTCCACAAGTGGATATATATCTGAAGAAACCCAAAACACTCATTCAAAAAATATATCCACCCACATATTCAGTGGAGCATTATTTACATTAGCTTTTACAAATACTTACATTCTGTTTACAAATATAAAAGCACCCAAATGTCCATCAATATATGAGTGGATAAAAAAGCAGTGGTGCACATATATAAAATGGAATATTCCTTGGCTACAAAAAAGAACAAAATCTTACCATTTGTGACAACATTGATGGTCCAAGAGGGTGTTATGCTAAGTGAAATAAGCCAGACAAAGACAAATACCATGTGATTTCAGATATGTGTGGAATCTAAAGAACAAAATAAAAAAGCAAAGAAAATATAAGTAGACTTATAGATACAGAGAACAAACTGATGAAGGCCAGAGGAGAGGAGTGTTGGGGGATTAAGAAGTACTGATTGTTACAAAAACAGTCACGAGGCTGTAAGGGAAAGCATAAGGAGCATCGTTAACAACACTGCGGTACCTGTCTGTGGTGCCAGGTGGGCACTTGAGTTATTGGGGGGGACACTCGGATGTCTCTGCTGTGCTATATGCCTGAAACTAACACAAAAAAGTGTTGAATGCAACATAAAATCTAAAACATATATAAAATAAAATATCAGTTTAACATCTCATACATACATTTTATATTATACTGAAGTTTATATATTATAGTTTAAGGCATTAGTGATATACTAAGTCCACGCACTCTCAGCACACTAAGCCACATGCATGTTTGCCAGGATGTAGGTAAATTTCCCCCATATTTTAATTGCAGTTGCATTCTGAGTGCTCCTCCAGATCCCTCCTTTGCTTCCTGCATCACAGTGAGGGTAAGACTCTTAAGGGACCATATTAATCTCCTGCCAGAACTCCTTAAAGACTTCCTGCCTCACTTCCGGCAGAAGTAAAGGCATTGCGCCAGCCTCGCGTCACTCCTGCCGCCCTGCGTCTCCGTGTGCTCCAGCCACGCTGCACCCTGCCGTCCTGGAACTTGCCGAGCACGCTCCTGCCTCAGGGCCTTGGTACCTGCCGTTTCCTCAGCCTGCAGTTTTCTTCTGCCAGACGTCCTCATGACTTCTTTCCAGACATCCTTCCAGCCACTGTCCCACGTCCCTTCTTTCCAGCTTTTCCACATTCACACCATTGAAAATTGAAGCCTCTTCTTGCTTCCTAAAGCTCTTCCCGTCGTCTTGACTGCGTTGTGTTCTACAGTTGAAAAAACATGAATCTGTATCTTATATGCATGAAATACATTTTTATTTATATCAATATAGTTTAAGATTATATTTTAAAATACATGTATTTTATAGATCTATATATTTATTTATTTAAAAACTCTATTCCCTGCCATAACGCTCAGCGGGAGTTGGGTTTTTTCCTATGCCATCCGCTGCTCTGTCCCATCTGAGAGGACAGCACTGGCTCTGGGTCGATGCTCAGTGCACAGCTGTCGAAGGCACAAAAAGGTGGATCTTCCCCAACCCTCTGATGTGCCACTCAAGGGGCATGAAGCTCTGCGTCTCTGACTCACCTTGGGAGAATCTTCTCCCGTGTGTAATTTAAAGTCTTTCTCTACACGCTGATTAAGACGGCAAATATTAAAGAGGTTGATGAAGCCAAGTGGTGAGGGTGTGGAGCAGCGAGACCGCCACCTGCTGCTTTTGGGAGGAGAAGTGGCAGAGTCGTCTTTTCACTCCTGTGAGTCACTCAGTAGAAATAAAGTGTATGTCCACACACAAATATGTTCATCCAGCTCCAACTGGAGATGCTCGATGTCCGTCAGCTGGCGAATGGACGCCGGGGTCTGGGGTGGTGCGTGTCCAGCGGGCCGCTGGGAGGCAGTGAACAGGGTGGAGGACTGGCACTGCCTCCGCGGGAATGGGTCTCACCCCCTTCTGAGTGCGAGCAGCCAGGCGCAGGCAGACCCGTGGATGGCACGCGCATGTGTCTTGTAGGACGTGCAAGCTGATGGATTGTGACAGAAGGCAGGTGGTCCAGGCCCAGCATGTGGGGAAGGGACCTGAGGCGCAGTGGAAACATGTTTTCACAGATGTATAAGTCTCAAAGCTCATTGAACTTATACTTTAAATAGATGAGTTTATTGTACATAAATTACACCTTGATAGAGTTGATAGAGGATATCGTTAGCTGTATCAGTTATTTTTTTCTGAAACTGAGTTAGCCTGAGCCTCATGTAATTCATTTGGTAAGTTGATCCTCTGACTATTTTCTACCATGTGATTGCTTTAGGGGGTTCTTTGAAAACTAGATCAGTTATGAAATATTGTAGAGGACCAACGGTCATATAAAAATAATATTTTAAAAGGCTAAGCTAAGCAGAAATTTTGATGTGTTAATTTCAACAATATTAAGAGGTAGGTAGTAGTGTTCCAAATTTTATAGACAGTGAATCTTAAAAAGTTGAGTGACTTGCCCTAGCTGGTTTGACTCAGTGGTTAGAGCATCGGCCTGCAGACTGAAGGGTCCCGGGTTCATTTCTGGCCAAGGGCAAGTACCTCGGCTGCAGGCTCCATCCCTGGCCCTGGTCGGGGTGCATGGGGGAGGCAACCGGTCGATGTGTCTCTCACATTGATGCTTCTCCCTCTCTCTCTCTCTCTCTTCCTTCCACGCTCTCTGAAAAGCAGTGGAAAAAATATCCTCAGGGGAGGATTAAACAAAAAGTTGAGTAACTTGCTCAAAATAATGAAGTGACCTGGGTCAGGTGCGAAGTGTGAAGCCAAGGACTCTGGACTCCAGCTGAGTTTTCCACTTCTCTGTGGGTGTTACACACTCCCCTCTTCCCCATTACGTTGAATGTAATTCGCTTGAAAATATCTTTGTATCTTAGAAGGATCTTTCAATATCTCAGATGGGCCAGAGATCATTAGATATTTCAGAAGTTTATCAAATATTATTGTTTTTATAGGTAAAAGTCATGAATTAAATGATATGAAATTTAGGAATTTTTTTTCATAGAGTTGGTTCATAAATATAATAGCATTTTGTTATAATTTTTGAATATCTCTTCATTCTAAGGTTTTGCTAAGTAGAGTTCAGGTGATCATCACGAGATTAAAAGGAACTTTCAAAGCTGCATCTGTTGCAAACCACCCTTGGACATTGTCTCTCACCATGTCTAGTGTAAGCATCTGACATCTGAGTTGTCACCCAAGGGTCACGCTTTTGCTCCTGTCCTGTTCACAGGTTGTTCGATATTTGGCTGGCTGTGGACTGCAGAGCTGCCAGATGCTGGTGGCCAAGGGGTACCCAGACATCGGGTGGAACCCAGTGGAAGGGGAGAGATATCTCGACTTTCTCCGATTTGCTGTCTTCTGTAATGGTAGGACTGTGGCTTGTGGGGTCCTCTTTGGTCATTGTTAAAGCTGCATAAAAATAGTTAAATAAAATGATGGTACATCCCAGCATTTTCATGGAGGAAGTAAATATTAGGAAAGAAATAGATTATTTTGTAATCTGTTTTCTACAGTAACAATTTGTTGTATATTTGTTTTGATAGTGATGCTGTACTTCATTATTAAATTTAAAAATTTACATACTTACATTCTTATAAATTTTGGTAATTGGATTCTAATAGTGCCTAGAACTGTGGTTTTGAATTGTGAATTACACATTGACAAGTGAACAGTCTGTGCCTTCATTATGCTTTTCTTTACTCTGAAAATTTTAAGTGCAAGAACGGAACGTGACAGTCTTACACACCATGTTCGTTGGATGTTGTTATTTCTCCCTAAGTATAAGTGAATTAACGCAACACTCTTGCTTGTGCCCAGGGGAGAGCGTGGAGGAGAATGCCAACGTGGTGGTGCGGCTGCTCATCCGCAGGCCCGAGTGCTTCGGGCCCGCGCTGCGGGGCGAGGGCGGCAACGGGCTCCTCGCAGCCATGGAGGAGGCCATCAAGATAGCCGAGGACCCCAGTCGGGACGGCCCCTCCCCGACCAGCGGCTCCAGCAAGACCCCGTAGGTCTCACACACACACTCTCAAGAGTAAATTGTGCTGCTTGACCTGAAATTGTACAAAACATAATCTGCAGTCTGTCAATTGCAATGTAACTCATGACGTCCTCCCTTGAAAAGCAAATGTGTTGGATGTGGAAGAACTGGGAGCTGGATGGGATTTGCCTCTGGAACAGGCTGAATAGAGGGACCCGAGGAAGACCAAGTGGCTCTAGCAGAGAAGTTCAGGCTGTGGGAGGTTGTACTTGGTGACCTCTCCCAGGGGCTCTGTAATTTACTAATTACACATGATGAAACTGGGGGAGAGTTTAGTGGGAAACTAGCTAGAATGGGTTTTCATGAAGGAACCTTTAGCAAGAGAATGGCGGACTTGGTCCAAAAGAGGGGGTGTCGTCCTACTGGGAGTGAGATGCTGGATCAGAGCCCTGGTGGTGGTGGGGAGGCAGTAACACCTCACATTTGCCCAGATATTTGCAATTTGTTAATACTTGGTTTCAGCAATGGACTTGAATTAGGCTAGCCTGCTTCTCCTGTCTTTTTAATGTGGGATGTGATGGGCCTGCCAGGGCTCATGCCTCCCCACTCCTGGCCTTACTGGTACAGAAACAACACAGGGCCTGTTGGGGCAAAGTTTAAGCACAGACATGGTCCAACCCTGTTGCATGGACAGCCCTGCACAGAGCTCTGTCCACACCAGGCCAAGGCTCCAGACCGGGATGTTGTATATTTATCAGTCAGCCACAGGGCAATAGGGAGCCCTCAGTGTCTTTAATCCATAGAAAATATACCAAGAGACTGGGCCCCGACCACAGCAGCAGGTGTGCCCTGAGGGCCCTGGAAACAGCCTTGCTCTGAGTCTGGCCGAGGCAGCTGACTGCTGAGCCCCCACAGGGGCATGGCACCCTCTCCCAGGGCCGTCCAGGTCCGCCTCTCAGTGAGTCATGGAGTAGTTATGTTTTCCTCACAGGTGGGGTAGGGGATGTGCAGATTATTGGGAGTGGGCTGGGTAGGAAATGAGTGATGAAATCACATTTGTGAAGTTCTTACTCTGGGAAACTGCTGCATGCCCTGTATATGGGACCTTCTAGGGCAGACCTTTCTCACCCTTTCTCTAAAACCATCTAGTCACAAAGTGTTACAAACTTACCAAGTCCTGCCATCAATCACTTCCCTTGGTAATAAGCTATCTGCCTCTACAAGTGAGCAGAATCATCACATTAGCAATTCGTTTTTCCCCTGGAAAGGATCTTAATATTCAGGTTCCCGGTGTGTGTTCTTGGTGATAGAATCTCGAATCTGGTCTTTCACCCATTGTCATTTTGCTTTAAAATGTCCAGCTATAAATTCAACACAGACAGAAGCATCAGAAAGAATTACCTAGGGGTCCCTGTCCCCTGAGAATGTGTAACACACCAGAAATGCCCCTTCATGGTCTGTTTGCCTTGCTTTCTGTTTCTCTGGGGTGACGTGAAAGTGACACGGAGGAGGAGGACACCATCCACATGGGGAACGCCATCATGACCTTCTACGCCGCGCTCATCGACCTGCTGGGGCGCTGCGCCCCCGAGATGCACGTAAGTCCCCTGGCTCCTCTCTGGAGACGCCAGAGCTGCGAGGGGTCCCCAGCCCCGGAGCAGTGCCCCTTGTGCTCCCTGAGGATGACACGGAGCCTCGTGGCCGAATGAGAGTTTGCGCAGCTGGAAATGTCTTGTGGGCTGTAAACTTTAGCAAGGAGACTTCAGTACGAGTCAGTAGTAGTAGAATAGTCAGGTCTGACGGGCCTCTGACGCTCACCTGGGCCCCTCACTTGAGGAAGAAAAGAGCCTTTCCCTACGCGATCTCCTCTCCCGTTTCAGCGCGTGCAGAAGGCGGCCCCTCCTGCCATTCCCTTGTACAGTATTTAGTCCCCGCGAGCAGCTGCTCCGCGATGTCCCCTCCTTTAGGGGAAAGTGTGGTGGGGCAGGTTGTGGGGAGGAAAGAGCTATTCAGACCTGATCGATTAGTGTTTTCTGGACTTTTTAGCCAAGATGAAATTAAAGCTTCATGGAATAATACTTAGCTTTTACTCTGTAATATGTTCTGACATTTTCTTCTTTATTTTCCAGTGTATTCTCTTTTATTCTATTATAGTCATTTAAGAAATGCTTGCCAGGGCCCATAAAATTAGCCTCATTACCCACTAATGGGAAACCACACGGGTATGAAACACATGGACCAGCTAGGGTAGAAGGTAACAGCTTCCAGGTGGGTCTGAGCAGGGTGTGGCTGTGCTAGCAGATCACCTCTCTCCCCCACCCTGACATCTGTGAGGGGTTTTTGTTTGTTTACTAGGTGTTTTTTGGGGGAAGGGGTCTTTTTCTCTCTCACATTCATTAGTTAAAACTTTCATGATTGATTTAATTTTTTGTTGTGAACAGAGAGGTGTCACAGGATGGAGAAACGTCAGCATATTAGAAAACCTAGTGTCTGATTTTTGTGAAAACTTAACTTGCTGCTGATGAGATTTAATCATACAAATGGATTTTAAAAAATGTTTGCTGGGAGTGATTGCGAACACAAAAGCTTTATGATCACAATATTTATTCATTTTGCTCTGAAAGTGAAAGATCGAGTAACCAAGAAAGAAATTAGGCTAATAAATAGAAGCCTTTTGTTCTGTTAGATTAAGGGGGAAATATAAGTGGCTTAATAAGGGACCAAAGGTGTCACTTCTGAACTGTGTTCATCTCAGTACCTGTGGTTTGAGGACCTCCTGTGTGTCAGACCCTGTACCTGTTTCACCCCGTGGTGAAGGACACAGATGCCAACCTCGCTCTGAAGCCTGCCTTCTGTCCCAGGGACCGGCTGCCTTCTGTCCCAGGGACTGGCTGTCGCTCTTGACTGTATCAGTCATGCCATCATAGGTACTTCGTTAGCTAGCCAGGGATGGTCTAAAGACTTGTTAGATTTGTGTTCACTGTTTGCCCCCATATGCAGACCCATCCTTGGGAGAAATCAGGGTGGAAAATAGATGGATATGCAATTGTATTTTCATCACAGAGCAAGAACAGGTAAATCAATCACAAATATTAGTATATGTTCAGAGCCTAAAGATAATTATTCTGATGTGTAGACCAGCTGGCCTAGGTCATAGTGTGTTGACATCAATGAAAACTGTGGGCAAGTAAATATCTGTCTGTAAGCCTGAGACAAGTTTCCGAGCGAGGCCTAACTTTACCCATATACTTAACAGGAAGTCGTTTAGACTCAGATTCCTGTACTTCAGGTTTGTAGATAATATGACGTGGATGTCACACAGGACTCTGACTCTCCTTTGTTTTCTTCCTGTAGCTGATTCATGCTGGGAAGGGAGAAGCCATCAGGATCAGGTCAATTTTGAGATCGCTCATTCCCCTGGGAGACCTGGTGGGCGTGATCAGCATCACCTTCCAGATGCCCACGGTCGCCAAAGGTGAGGTGCATTCAGGGGGATGCTGCATGACACGGATTATCAGTGCTCGGCATTGCCCTCCCTGCTACACGTTTCTTTAAAACAAGAAAAAACTATAAAGTACGCTATTTTATAAGATACTCCTCTTCTCATTGTTTCAGAACAGCTGTGTTTCCCATCAGAAAATCGGGGCCCGGCTGTCCGTCTTGTCTGGGGGGGCTCCGTGGTCCCCGTAGTCCTCACAGTTCCTTGGTCACTCTCTCTGACCGTTTTCACTGTCACTTTCTTCAGATGCTTTTTCCCAAAAACAATGAGCATAGCTTTTGACTTAGAGATTTAAGAATTGCAAGTATGTCGAAAGAAGTGCTCTTTTCAGGATTAAGGAGAACATTTAAGAGATTGTTTTTCTTCTATTTGACCCAACATGTCATTTTTAGTGTAGAAACTGCTTGGGGTTAGTTTTCCATATTAATTCAAAAGCATGTTTAATAAAACAGCCTCCTACCTGTGTCATTGCCCAGCAGCCCTCACCCCCACCCTCACCTAACCCTCAC